ATAGATAGATAGATAGATAGATAGATAGATAGATAGATAGATAGATAGATAATGAAGAAACAGAGATAGATGCTCTAATTACCTTACTTCAATTAACTGGAGTATTATAGAAAGGTCAAAATCGTAAAGGATTTAAATATAACCTATGTTTGGTTGAAAAAATGATTCTCTTAAAACACTTAAATAACCCGGGTTTATTAAACAAGAGAAATGTACTGATGATTACATGTAGGCATAAAAACAAATATCTACTTAAACGCGTAGATGCTGATTAATTTTTAATACTAATCACGGTTTGCTTTTTATTTTATTTTACGTTTTATTATATATTATAATTTATTGTTAATAATTACTTTTCAATTTTATTTTTAATTTTACTGTTGTTTAAAAATGAGTTTAAGTAATCTCCCGTTAATAAAATAATTGATAATCCACTGCTCTAAAATAAAATAAAAATAATTATAAATAAATCCAAATCTTATATGCTAATCCCGGTTATCTTAATTGCAACATGTAATGTTTTAAGAAATATTTTTTTTAATTTTTTAAAACAAATACAATTTTCAAAACTTTTTTTTGAATTAAATTAAATTAAAGTACCAAGCTCTGTTCCATCTTCAAGCGAAATTTTTTTTATGGAACAGAGCTTGGTACATTAATTCAATTTAATACAAAAAATTATATTGAAGATTTCTGCTCTTGGTTTGAAACATGAGAACTCTTATGCAGCGTTTGAATCATATTTTTAAATAAATAATTATATTTAGGCTCTACTTTTGTATCAAGCACTGTTTTTTTTTTTAAATAATAAGAAAAATACTAAAGAAGTTTGGATTATTACCTAACAAATTCTTTCCTATTTTCAATATATTTTCACACACACACACACACACACACACATACACACACAAACACACACACACACATATATATATATATATATATATATATATCCGCTGTTTGTCTATCTGTCTTTCTATCAATCCATATATATTTCTTTAGTAGGAGTATGGCCAGGCGTTGCCCGTGTTTGATTCAAAAATCGTACGACTCATACAGCAATCGCTATCACTTGACTTAAAATATCTTTGCCCTTCCTTGCATTTAAAGAAGTGCCCTTTGCCGTGCTGATGTTGCTACATGCCTTACTTCTTGCCTATCTCACACTGCGAATTTTTTCGAAGCTCTATACTAAACATTAAATCTGTTAAGAAAAAAGAACTAAACAAAATGAACACAAAACGATCAGCTTTAAAAAAGGACTCGTAACTGGAAAAACCGAATGAAAAAAGAATGTTAACAACAAATACTTTTTCACACCTAACCCAGTTCTGCAGAATCAGAATCAACGTTGTGTTTAAGCAAGAGAATGAGCCAATTGGAGTAAAGTGCCATGCAGATTTAAATGTTTCTCACTTGTGACGAATGCAGCTATCGACTTTTTTGCATTCTAGCATGCTAGTTAACATTCGTGTCAGTCAGCTGTTGGCTCTCATGCTGGCCAATAGAATTTTCCTGCCTATTTGTGGCAGCCAGCTATAGGCCCTGACTCTGGCCAGTAGAAAATGGCCTCAAACTACATGTAAACTGCCGTAGAAGCAGGAAAAAATCGATTATTTCCACTATCGATGGGAGTTGGGAAATGCAAAGTCGGTCTTGGCCTTCCCGCTAACTTGGAGCATGTGCATGTAAATGTTGGTGCAAATCCGTCGAAAATTGCGGCCGTGCATTCGTTACACAAACACACACACACCCTGCCTTTTATAGATAGCGATTCATCTATCTTTCTATCTCTTTTTCTTTATATCACGATATCATCTACCTGCTGCTTTCTATCTATCTATCTATCTGTTATGGTCCGGTTCCTTGTACCACGGTGATAGTCCAAAGTAGAACCAATGAAGAAGAACTCGAACACTGATATGGAATAACACAGATATATTACAAACAGGAATATATACAGAGAAGTAGAAAGTGTTAGTACGAACAATCAGGTTTAGTAGTAATTGTCTGGACGCGACTCTGTTTCGGACTGCCTCTGACTCGACTGACTGACTCGATCGCTCTGACTGACTGACAGACTCCTGACTGACTTCACACCAGACTTCGAACTGAACTCCAGACTTCAGACGGAACTCCCGACTTCAGACAGAACGATATTCAGTCACCTCCCCCCCCACGAGGGTGTCATGTGGCACAAGGCCTTTTTAACGTGGGATCTCCACGCCCGTGAGCTCGGCCAAAAATATGCCCATTGAACCCGCATAAACGGGTTCAGGGTCGGTTTACCTCCCCCGAAAGAGACTCCGCCCTTCGGCGTAGCCTCGTTCGTTCCTCCCGCTCCGAAGGCAGAGAGTTCAACCGATCAGCCGGTCGCCCGACTTCGAGTGAACTCCCGCCTCCTCTTGAGGCGCAGTATTTATTACGTATGGAATAGTCCATTATGTTATTATGGGTAAGGTACCATAACATCTACCTTGCTCTCTCTCTCTCTCTCTTTTTTCTATCTATCTACCAATCTATCCCAGCCTATTCATTATCTATCTATCTATCTATCTATCTATCTATCTATCTATCTATCCCAGCCTATCTATCTATCTATCTATCTATCTATCTATCTAAGCCTATTCATTATCTATCTATCTCAGCCGGTTCGTATCTATCTCTTTTACTATCTATATATCTTAATCTATTCATATCTAGTCCCCTTCCTCTTAATCTCTCGACTCAAAATCAGGTTTGATATTTTGACTATGATGAAATTAACAAGTAAATAAACTTATACAGTGCCAAATATGTCAGGCTCGCTTGCCGAAATTGGTTCTGTCTAAATTCAATTTCGATTCATTAGGGAGCCATCGCATTATGATTAATTATACGATTGTTTTCCTGGCTAAACGAAATGAATTTATCAGAAGCGATCAACACCCATACTCCATCCCTTACATCAACACGCATATACCCCACTTCCACCCTGTGTGTTTGTGTGCGTGTGTGTGTGTGTCTTACACATAGAAAAACATTAAAACAAATAAGATATATACAATAGGTACATATAACATTGTTAATCGGTTTGAGTGAAGTGTAAAGAGAAAAAAACTAAACTCAATTTTACTATCGACACAAAGATGTAGACAAAACGTCTAAGAGTACGAAACTAAATCAGTCCTCATCTGCTTCTATGCGTCGTCTCCCTGTAGGATGTTGGCGATCATGGCTCTCCACAATTTCATCTCCTTTGTTTGGCTCCCTGTGCCGCGCCAGGCAATTTTTCTCCCCGGAATCGATCCTCCAGATCTACAAATCAACAATTCCCCCTTGCATGGAGTATTGCTGCCATATATGGTCTGGAGCCCCTTCTGTTTGCCTCGGGGTTCTTGATAGGCTCCAGAGGCGGATATGCAATATAATTGGCCCTGATCTGGCATATTGTCTCCAGTCACTCTCTCACAGACGCGCCGTCGCCTCTCTCTGTCTGTTTTACAAATACTTTCATGGCAATTGCTCCGAGGAGCTGCATTCGCTGGTTCCCAGACTTCATAAATTCAAGCGCCCTACGAGGCTGGCATCTTGCTCTCACCCCTTCACTGTCGAAACTCCTAAATGTAGCCGTCTCTTCTACTCCAATAGTTTCATGTCTCGCACCTCTCGCCTGTGGAACTTTCTTCCCTATTCCAGTTTCCCTGAGAGCTATAATCTCCAGCTATTCAAGTGTAATGTCAATCGACATCTCCAGTTGACTTGATCTATCCACTACCCTTCTCCTCATCCTTTCTTCTATCACTCCTATCTGATCTTGCTCCAAATCTTCTGAAACCCCTTGCGTCCTAGTGGCTTCTCGCCTTGCTTGGGGTGAAACGCTTAAAAAAAAAAAAAGGTCTTAATAAATTTTAGTTTTTTGTTATGTTGCTGCCACATATGGTCCAGTGCCTCTTCTATATAGCTGAAGATCCTAGATAAAAACTCCTCCAAAAAATCAGCAATATTATTGGTTCTGACCTAACATCTCGGCTTCAGTCAGTTTTCCAGCATCGTATGGTGGCTTCACTATGCATTTCTATAAATATTTCATGGTAATGTTTCGTATGAGCTCTAGGCTGTGGTACTTAGACTTTTTAAAAATTTAAGCGCAGTACTAGATTGGCGATGAGGTCTCGTCAATTCACAGTTGAAAGGTCTAGATGTAAACGTAAGTTCTATGATAACAGTTTCTTTTCTCGCACTTCTGGATTGAGGAACTCCCTTTCTTCAGCAAAAATTTAAATACAATGTCAATCGCTATCTACTGCCATCCCGATTACTCTTCTTTTATTCTCGCTCCTTATTAATGTTTCTGTTACAAATTCTTTCACACCTAGTAACCCCTTGTGTCTTAGTAGCTTTAATGCCTTCCTTGTGGAACTTGCTTCATGCGCCATGCTTTCCAGCCAATTTTAATCTTCAAAAATTTAAATGCAATGTCAATCGCTATCTACTGTCCTCCTGATTACTCTTTCCACTTCCCGCTCATTATTAATGTTTCTGTTTTTAATTCTTCCACACCTAGTAACCCCTTGTGTCTTAGTGGCTTTACTGCCTTGTTTGGGGTGAATAAATTAAAACATCCCTTACCGAAACACTTTTCCACCATCCATTTGCTATTTGCATCCATCCATTTATAACATATTCTCTAAGACCTCTTTCCTCATTATGCTTCCTGTGTCTTTCTTTCTTTCCATCGTCTTTGCTCACATATTTGGTCGATGGCATTCTCAGCATCCTTCTGCAGAACTATATTTTTATTCATATTCAAAAATTTAAATGCATTGCCAGTCACCATTTACTTTCTTCCTGATCTATCTACGCTGTGAATCTTTCTCCTCAGTCAACTCTTTTCATTCTCATCCACTGCCAATAACGCCTTGCACCTTAGTGGCATTGACGCCTTGCTTGGGGTGATTTGGTTAAAGGAAAGCATAGATATGAATAGACTATGCTAAATACATAGATAGGTGAAAAGACTATATTACATAGATAGATAGATAGATAGATAGATAGATAGATAGATGTGAACAGACCACAACGGATAGATAGATAGATAGATAGATAGATAGATAGATAGATAGATAGATAGATAGATATAAACTGACAGATAGATAGATAGATAGATAGATAGATAGATAGATAGATAGATAGATAGATAGATAGATAGATAGATAAGAAGAGACTGAGGTAGATAGATAGATAGATAGATAGATATAAACTGACTGAGATAGATAGATAGATAGATAGATAGATAGATAGATAGATAGATAAGAAGAGACTGAGGTAGATAGATAGATAGATAGATAGATAGATAGATAGATAGATAGATAGATAGATAGATAATAAGAAGAGACTGAGGTAGATAGATAGATAGATAGATAGATAGATAGATAGATAGATAGATAACTGACTGAGATAGATAGATAGATAGATAGATAGATAGATAGATAAGAAGAGACTGCGATAGATAGATAGATATAAACTGACTGAGATAGATAGATAGATAGATAGATAGATAGATAGATAGATAGATAGATTCTATTCCATTCATTGATTCATTTTCTACGGTTTATCAAACTTATTTAAAGCCAGAAAATATTTATTGATTGTAGGATTTTTTTTCTAATCCGCATTTGATAAACAAACAAGAAATTATAATATGGATGTAAAGTGGGGGATCAATTCTACATTAGAATGAATATATAAATTGAACCCTCACTTTAAGGCCACATTAATTTCTATACATTTATATTCCAGAGAATGTAAATAAACATGAAACAATATTTAATTGATTGATTCGTTTTCTACGGTTTATCAACCCTTTGCAGGCTATTTAAGATATGTACAGAATATATTACATAAATAGATATGTACAGACGATAGATAGATAGATAGATAGATAGATAGATATTAACAGACTATATTTAGATAGATATGCACAAACTATAATAGATAAATAGATATGAACAAACTATAATAGATAGATAGATAGATTATGAACAGACTGAGATAGATAGATAGATTAGATAGATAGATAGATAGATAGATAGATAGATAGATATTAACAGACTATATTTAGATAGATAGATATGCACAAACTCTAATAGATAGATAGATATGAACAAACTATAGATAGATAGATAGATAGATAGATAGATAGATAGATAGATAGATAGATATTAACAGACTATATTACATATGAAAAGACTATATTTCGATAGATAGATATGCACAAACTATAATAGATAAATAGATAATGGACATAATGAGATAGATCGATAGCAAGATATATAGCTAGATAGATATGAAAACACTGGGATAGATAGATAGATAGATAGATAGATAGATAGATAGATAGATAATGAAGAAACAGAGATAGATGCTCTAATTACCTTACTTCAATTAACTGGAGTATTATAGAAAGGTCAAAATCGTAAAAGATTTAAATTTAACCTATGTTTGGTTGAAAAAATGTTTCTCTTAAAGCACTTAAATAACCCGGGTTTATTAAACAAGAGAAATGTACTGATGATTACATGTAGGCATAAAACCAAATATCTACTTAAATGCGTAGATTCTGATTAATTTTTAATACTAATCACAGTTTGCTTTTTATTTTATTTTACGTTTTATTATATATTATAATTTATTGTTAATAATTACTCTTTACTTTTATTTTTAATATTACTGTTGTTTAAAAATGAGTTTAAGTAATCTCCCGTTAATAAAATATTTGATAATCCACTGCTCTAAAATAAAATAAAAATAATTATAAATAAATACAAGTCAAAGATAGATAGATAGATAGATATGAACAAACTATGATAGATAGATAGATATGAACAAACTATAATAGATAGATAGATAGATAGATAGATAGATATGAACAAACTATAGTAGATAGATAGATAGATAGATAGATAGATAGATAGATAGATAGATATGATAGATAGATAGATATGAACAAACTGATAGATAGAACAAACTATAATAGATAGATAGATAATGAACAAACGAAACGATAATAGATAGATAGATAGATAGATAGATAGATAGATAATGAACAAACTATAATAGATAGATATGAACAAACTATAATAGATAGATAGATAGATAGATAGATATGAATAAACTATAGTAGATAGATAGATAGATAGATAATGAAGATGAAACAAACTATAATAGATAGATAGATGAAACAAACTGATAGATAGAGAGATATGAACAAACTATAATAGATAGATAGATAATGAACAAACGATAATAGATAGATAGATAGATAGATAATAAACAAACTATAATAGATAGATATGAACAAACTATAATAGATAGATAGATAGATAGATAGATAGATAGATAGATAGATAGATAGATAGATAGATAATGAACAAACTATAATAGATAGATAGATAGATAGATAGATAGATAGATAGATAGATAGATAGATAGATAGATAGAGAAACACAGGTGAGAGAGAACTTGAGAATCAACACTGTTATATTAATTTGATTTCACCTCAAGCTTTTCTGAATGAAATCCATGTAATGTCGAACGCTTTCGTTCCAATCTTTCTCCGATCATTCGCAAAGTACGATGAAGAATCCTACTTAAGAATGGTAAGCTAGTTGGCCTTTTAACTGCAGTAAAGTTTTCTCTGTCGCATCCACACACCAAAAAAAAATGAAAATTAAAAGAAAAGCAAAAACTACTTTATCGAATTTGCACATCTTATCTCCTGAATCAGTCCAAAACGCTTACACGAATGCTGCTTGGTATTATTTTCGGAAAGATATTCTTTTAGTTCTTTTCTTTTGTCTGATATTATCGAATCTAGTTATGCTTTAAGTCGATTGTACGTGAAGACATGCCGCACAGATGTATTTCCGTTTTAAAGCTGAATGTTTTTATCTCCTTTCGCCGGAGAGTTATTTTCCGAATCTTTATTTCATGGCCTACAAATTGTCTGGGATCAGGAAACGAATGTGGGGGAAGGAAGAGGAGTAGGAAAAAAATCGTTTTCAATAAGATTAGACACACGAAGAGAAAATGAAAGATAAGTTCCGGACGAGAAAGAAATTATGTTAGTGCAGCAGCCGACACTTTACGTTAATTCATCTTTTCTACTACTCCTCCCCCCTTCTTCCTCCTCCTCTCTTACCTTTTTCTTTTCATACAAACCCACTTTTTTCCTTCCTAAATCTCATCTTTCGGCTACAGTGCAACACATCTTGTAACTCCAATATAGTGATTTTCCAAGTGTAGCTCAGATGTGGCACAAAACCGAAAGGCACCCAGTGAGGTCCGAACTCACTACTCAGTCGTAATTGTTCTAGCGAGACAAGATTGTTAACCATTACCCCACCTCGATCGAGACTTTCATATGGATGTCATGCATGGCGTCAAACCTGTTCAGAAATGGTTGGTATAGCTTTGAGTGACCACACTTCTTCGAAATTCTTAGACTGGCGCTACAGAATCCCTAACAAAGAACGATACAAAATGAAAGAAACCACATAACTTAATGACATCCAAGGACGGTAACAGCTAAAATGAATAGCACATCTAACTCCAAGAGAAAATAATGACCTAATTAAGATGTTAACACTATTTTCAATTAAAAAGATTAAGAAGGAAACTTTTGTCAATAATGGAAAGAGCGATAACAGCTACTGAACTTAGGAAACGAATTTTTTGAAAAAATTGTTTTAAAAGAAAGATTTTTAAAAATTCAACTGACAAGCTGCTCTGTCGATGAAAGCCGAATATTTCCTTATAAGGAAACGGTTACTATTACGATTAGAGATGAGGAGAACAGATACTACTCTTTGATCCCAGCTCTAGGGCCAGGAATTGAAGAAGAATGTCACTCGAGTAGCACTGGCTGCTCGGTCAATGAATGCCGAATGTTTCCTTATAAGGAAACGGCTAATATTACCATTATCATTAGAGATGAAGAGAACGGATACTACACTTTGATCCCAGCTCGAGGACCAGGAAGTAAAGAAGAACGTCACTCAAGTAGCACTGGCTGATCGGTCAATGAATGCCGAATGTTTCCTTATAAGGAAACGGCTAATATTACCATTATCATTAGAGATGAGGAGAACAGATACTACACTTTGATCCCAGCTCGAGGACCAGGAAGTAAAGAAGAACGTCACTCAAGTAGCACTGGCTGCTCGGTTAATGAATGCCGAATGTTTCCTTATAAGGAAACGGCTAATATTACCATTATCATTAGAGATGAAGAGAACAGATACTACACTTTGATCCTAGCTCGAGGACCAGGAAGTAAAGAAGAACGTCACTCAAGTAGCACTGGCTGCTCGGTTAATGAATGCCGAATGTTTCCTTATAAGGAAACGGCTAATATTACCATTATCATTAGAGATGAAGAGAACAGATACTACACTTTGATCCCAGCTCGAGGACCAGGAAGTAAAGAATAACGTCACTCAAGTAGCACTGGCTGCTCGGTTAATGAATGCCGAATGTTTCCTTATAAGGAAACGGCTAATATTACCATTATCATTAGAGATGAGGAGAACAGATACTACACTTTGATCCCAGCTCGAGGACCAGGAAGTAAAGAAGAACGTCACTCAAGTAGCACTGGCTGCTCGGTTAATGAATGCCGAATGTTTCCTTTATAAGGAAAACGGCTAATATTACCATTATCATTAGAGATGAAGAGAACAGATACTACACTTTGATCCCAGCTCGAGGACCAGGAAGTAAAGAAGAACGTCACTCAAGTAGCACTGGCTGCTCGGTCAATGAATGCCGAATGTTTCCTTATAAGGAAACGGCTAATATTACCATTATCATTAGAGATGAGGAGAACAGATACTACACTTTGATCCCAGCTCGAGGACCAGGAAGTAAAGAAGAACGTCACTCAAGTAGCACTGGCTGCTCGGTTAATGAATGCCGAATGTTTCCTTATAAGGAAACGGCTAATATTACCATTATCATTAGAGATGAAGAGAACAGATGCTACACTTTGATCTCATCCCGATGTTAAAAGTTCGACGAAAGGCTTAACTCGAGTAGTAGTCGGCACACTCTCGCATCCAAGCAATGGGATAGTCATCCTCTCTCCTTATTCCCTTTCTCCTCTTCCACGAACTGCTATTTTGTGGGAACGACTCCCAAGAGGATGCTCAGCTGTTCACTACAGTCTTAACTTACTCAAGTCTAGGGATAAGAGTTACTTGTAAAGGACCAGCCTACACCTAAAGAGTAATGAAAGAGTTTACCGAGGCTATTCGCATGAATTTGTTTTTGTGTGGTCAAGGTCTTATCAGTTTACAATCCAAATGGCGAGATATAACCGTAAGTTCTATGCTAACAGTTTCTTCTCTCGTTTGTGGAATTCTCTTCTCGCTACTTGCTTCCCTGTCAACTTTGATCTTCACAAATCGAGATGCAATGTCAATCGTAATGTTCTGTCTTCTTAATTCTTGTTCTTTTATTATCCTCTCTCCTTAATAAAAATTTTTCTCATATTCTCTAACATTCAGTAACTCCTTGCATCTTAGTGGCTTTATTGCCTTTGAGCTTCAAAAATTGAAATGCAATGTCAATCGTAATGTTCTGTCTTCTTAATTCTTTTTCTCTTATTGTCCTCTCTCCTTAATAAAAATTTTTCTCATATTCTCTAACATTCAGTAACCCCTTGCATCTTAGTGGCTTTATTGCCTTTGGGCTTCAAAAATTGAAATGCAATGTCAATCGTTATCTTCTGTCTTCTTAATTCTTGTTCTCTTATTGTCCTCTCTCCTTAATATTAATTTTTCTCATATTTTCTAACATTCAGTAACCCCCCCACTTGCGTCTTAGTGGCTTTTTTGCCTTGCTTGGGGTAAAATGATAAAAAAAATATACACTGGACAGAGCAATCGTTATACAGTGAAAAGTTTCTGCTTATAAATTCGGCTCATATCCTGAGTCTTTATTGATCCAGTCTCGTATGTCTTGCATTTCATCTACAAACTGACTGTGGTAACATCTTTCAAAATTTCATGTGTTGTGAGTCGAAATGTGCGCTCCGGTAATGATTGAAATTCTTTTGCCGAACTAATGATTGAACGATCAGAGAACCAATATTGGCTAAAAAAGAACTACCAACATTTTGACATTTTTTTTAACTTAATCTTCGAAAATGGCTGATGGTTTTATCGAAAAATTCCTGAAATCAAACAAAGTCATTTGCCTATGAAATCGATCATCTGGCCATAAAACCTCAAAGAGAAAAAGGAATCTAAAATGGTGAAAAGAAATGATTTATTTTCTCGTATAAAAAGGGAAGTTTGAATGGAGAGGAAGGGGTACGCGTTAATTTCGAGGATTTTGTTGTGTCTTTTTTTTTTTACCTTATGTCATTTTGTGTAATGTAAAAAAAACTAATCTGAATGTTGTTCGTCTTTAAAATGGTCAGCAACATGAAAGGAATGAGAAATGAAAAGCAAGAATCCAAAATGTGTCAGTGAAAGAAAAAGAGAAAGAAGAAAGGTCAACGGAAGAAGACAGGATAGAAATGACATGCAACAAGTCGAACAAAAAAGAAAGAAAGAAAAAGGAAGGAAGGAGGAGAGAATTGAAAGGAAGAACGCGAAAAGTCGAACTGAAAAAGAAGAAAGAAAGATGATGGACGGGGGAATGAAAAGAAAGAAAGAAAGAAAGAAAGAAAGAAAGAAAGAAAGAAAGAAAGAAAAAGGAAGGAGGAGAGAATTGAAAGGAAGAAGGCGAAAAGTCGAACTGAAAAAGAAGAAAGAAAGATGATGGACGGGGGAATGAAAAGAAAGAAAGAAAGAAAGAAAGAAAGAAAGAAAGAAAGAAAGAAAGAAAGAAAGAAAAGGAAGGAGGAGAGAATTGAAAGGAAGAACGCGAAAAGTCGAACTGAAAAAGAAGAAAGAAAGATGATGGACGGGGAATGGAAAGAAAGAAAGAAAAAGAAAGAAAGAAAGAAAGAAAGAAAGAAAGAAAAAAAAAGGAGGAGAGAATTGAAAGGAAGAAGGCGAAAAGTCGAACTGAAAAGAAGAAAGAAAGATGATGAACGGGGAATGAAAAGAAAAAGAAAAAGAAAGAAAGAAAGAAAGAAAGAAAGAAAGAAAGAAAAAAGAAAAGAAGGAGGAGAGAATTGAAAGGAAGAACGCGAAAAGTCGAACTGAAAAAGAAGAAAGAAAGAAAGAAAGAAAGAAAGAAAGAAAGAAAGAAAGAAAAAGGAAGGAGGAGAGAATTGAAAGGAAGAACACGAAAAGTCGAACTGAAAAAGAAGAAAGAAAGATGATGGACGGGGGAATGAAAAGAAAGAAAGAAAGAAAGAAAGAAAGAAAGAAAGAAAGAAAGAAAAATGAAGGAGGAGAGAATTGAAAGGAAGAAGGCGAAAAGTCGAACTGAAAAAGAAGAAAGAAAGATGATGGACGGGGGAATGAAAAGAAAGAAAGAAAGAAAGAAAGAAAGAAAGAAAAAGGAAGGAGGAGAGAATTGAAAGGAAGAAGGCGAAAAGTCGAACTGAAAAAGAAGAAAGAAAGATGATGAACGGGGGAATGAAAAGAAAGAAAGAAAGAAAGAAAGAAAGAAAGAAAGAAAGAAAGAAAGAAAGAAAAAGGAAGGAGGAGAGAATTGAAAGGAAGAACGCGAAAAGTCGAACTGAAAAAGAAGAAAGAAAGATGATGGACGGGGGAATGGAAAGAAAGAAAGAAAGAAAGAAAGAAAGAAAGAAAGAAAGAAAGAAAAATGAAGGAGGAGAGAATTGAAAGGAAGAAGGCGAAAAGTCGAACTGAAAAAAAGAAGAAAGAAAGAAAGAAAGAAAGAAAGAAAGAAAGAAAGAAAGAAAGAAAAAAAGGAAGGAGGAGAGAATTGAAAGGAAGAACACGAAAAGTCGAACTGAAAAGAAGAAAGAAAGATGATGGACGGGGAATGAAAAAAGAAAGAAAGAAAGAAAGAAAGAAAGAAAAAGGAAGGAGGAGAGAATTGAAAAGGAAGAAGGCGAAAAGTCGAACTGAAAAAGAAGAAAGAAAGATGATGAACGGGGGATGAAAAGAAAGAAAGAAAGAAAGAAAAAAAGAAAGAAAGAAAGAAAGAAAGAAAGAAAGAAAGAAAGAAAAAATGAAGGAGGAGAGAATTGAAAGGAAGAAGGCGAAAAGTCGAACTGAAAAAGAAGAAAGAAAGATGATGAACGGGGAATGAAAAAAAGAAAGAAAGAAAGAAAGAAAGAAAGAAAGAAAGAAAGAAAGAAAGAAAATGAAGGAGGAGAGAATTGAAAGGAAGAAGGCGAAAAGTCGAACTGAAAAAGAAGAAAGAAAGATGATGAACGGGGGAATGAAAAGAAAGAAAGAAAGAAAGAATGAAAGAAAGAAAGAAAGAAAGAAAGAAAGAAAGAAAGAAAGAAAGAAAGAAAAATGAAGGAGGAGAGAATTGAAAGGAAGAAGGCGAAAAGTCGAACTGAAAAAGAAGAAAGAAAGAAAGAAAGAAAGAAAGAAAGAAAGAAAGAAAGAAAGAAAAAGGAAGGAGGAGAGAATTGAAAGGAAGAACACGAAAAGTCGAACTGAAAAAGAAGAAAGAAAGATGATGGACGGGGGAATGAAAAGAAAGAAAGAAAAGAAAGAAAGAAAGAAAGAAAGAAAGAAAGAAAAGAAAAAAAGAAGGAGGAGAGAATTGAAAGGAAGAACACGAAAAGTCGAACTGAAAAGAAGAAAAAAAAGATGATGGACGGGGAATGAAAAGAAAGAAAGAAAGAAAGAAAGAAAGAAAGAAAGAAAGAAAGAAAGAAAGAAAAAGGAAGGAGGAGAGAATTGAAAGGAAGAAGGCGAAAAGTCGAACTGAAAAAGAAGAAAGAAAGATGATGGACGGGGAATGAAAAGAAAGAAAGAAAGAAAAGAAAGAAAAAAGAAAGAAAGAAAGAAAGAAAAATGAAGGAGGAGAGAATTGAAAGGAAGAAGGCGAAAAGTCGAACTGAAAAAGAAGAAAGAAAGATGATGAACGGGGGAATGAAAAGAAAGAAAGAAAGAAAGAAAGAAAGAAAGAAAGAAAGAAAGAAAGAAAGAAAGAAAAAGGAAGGAGGAGAGAATTGAAAGGAAGAAGGCGAAAAGTCGAACTGAAAAAGAAGAAAGAAAGATGATGGACGGGGGAATGGAAAGAAAGAAAGAAAGAAAGAAAGAAAGAAAGAAAGAAAGAAAAGGAAGGACAGTGAAGATTGGGAGTTTGATTAAAAAGAATGCAACAAATCGAACCAAAAAAAGAAAGAAAGAATGAATATGAACGAATTTCGGAGTGAATGGATGAATGAATGAAAATTGAAATGAAGAAACGTTTACCGAAAAAAAAGGAAATGGTTGAATTCTGAGATTTCAAAAGAAAACAGGAACGGCAAAATGTAAGAAAGGAATGAATGATAAATTGAAAGACATTTCTGTTGAAAAAGAAAAAAAGAAAAGAGGAAAAGACTGGGAAAAAATCATATTTTATAGACCAAGCAAAATAATGTAAAACACCATTTCCATCCGACTATATAGGAAAAGCAACAGCTCACAGAATTGCACAAGGGAATCATTTAATCGATAGGTCGATAGTTAAATCGATTCTAAATCAATAGAACCGAGGTTTTTTTCAATATCGATCTCGTGCGCAGTCCTGCTCCCAATCTGAAACAAAAGCTAGAAACGTCTGCAATTATCAGTCAATATCTCTAAGAATTTATTTCTATCAATTTGACTTACGTCCGCCATTTTCTTTCTGATTCGTTCGACTTTCGGCTTCATTTTTCTTTTCGTTTTTTGTTGTTTTTTTCTTTTTTTACTCTTGTTCTGTCTTTTTCTTTCTTTTTCAATGAGTTGTTTCTTTCTTTTCACCTATCGTTCTATCGTTTTACATCTCAATCTATCTTTTACTTTCTTGCTCTCTTTCTGTCACTTTCCTTCTCTGACCTTTTTTTAGTCCCTTCCGCTATAATTTTCTACCCCTTCACTTTCTTTTTTTTTTCTCTTTTTCGATATGTTCTCTTTTTCTCGCTCATTCTTACTGTCTCATTTTTTGTCTGTCTTTTTAGTAATACAGTAGCAGTAGAGCCTGGCGTTGCCCGGGGATGTAACAGTAAGAGATAGATCAAGTATCGACCATCATAAAGACTGAAAAATAAAATTGACAAATATTATTGTTTAAGGTTGACGGACACGCATGTCTTAATTAGTTTTTTTTTTTTAGGGTGGCGGGGTTACGAATTGGTCAAACCCAAACTCAAACAAAAACATTGTTTTCAATCGTTATGAGTCTATCAATTTAATAGAATTTTATTATAAACAATTGTCTTGTAAATGGAATTTTTAAAGCATTCTGAATGTAAAAATAAAGAAAAAAGTGTGCAAGACAATAAGAAACACTACCTGCCAAAAAAAAATGTAGGAAATCCGATCCCATATATAAACGAACACACACACACACACACACACAAACAACCAACCTGGGTTTTATAATAAGTATAACTCGATATGAGTTGTCCCCCTTTCATTAATGCCTCTTAATCGTGTTTTCAAATTAATTTCGTGCAAAAACAAGTGTTTTCCAATTTTTTGGCGCTGTCAGAACCACCGCAAGGTAATTTTACGTAGTCCTGTGAAGTTTTGTTGAAATCGGTTGAAAAATGTAGGAAATCCGATACAATATATAAACGTACAGACACACACACACACACACAACCTGGGTTGTGTGTGTGTGTGTATATGAAGATATAAATCATACTTATTATAAATAAGTATTATTTATACCTTCATATACTTTTAAATAGATATATTTGGGGCCAGTAATGAGTGCTTCATTAAAGCCAATCAAAAATGTTGCCAATTGCCTATTATCGTGTTTGAAACTATTTAATCTCGAGCAGTCAGTAGGTCCTTTAATTATGTTCCGTGATCACTAAGGACGTAGGCGATCCTTGTTCTCCACAATTTCCTGTCATTTGTTGTTCGTAATAAATATTGTCTTTTCCTTATTTCTCCTAAATCCTGTTCCGCCATCCATTTACTTAAACTCATCATGTTATGCGCTGTTTCGGTCTGGCCCACTTGCCCACAATCTATCTATGAGTATCAGGTTTTCCCAGCCTTTCTTCCTCATTAGTTCCATAAATTGAATCTGTCTCTTTCTGGTATTAAATACAAGTTTCATTTTTGTTTCCATTTTCTATAAAACCTCTAAAACAGTTCAGTACTCTTTTCTTTGTTTCTCTTTCTTCAAGTCTCTCCTTCATCTGTGAGTTGATTGTCCAACATTCACTGCCATATAGGAGAACTGATATTACATAACAGTTCAGTACTCCTTTCTTTGTTTCTCTTGCTTCAAGTCTCTTCTTCATCTGTGAGGAGATTGTCCAGCATTCACTGCCATATAGGAGGACTGATATTTCATAACAGTTCAGTACTCTTTTCTTTGTTTCTCTTGCTTCAAGTCTCTCCTTCATCTGTGAGGAGATTGTCCAGCATTCACTGCCATATAGGAGGACTGATATTACATAACAGTTCAGTACTCTTTTCTTTGTTTCTCTTGCTTCAAGTCTCTTCTTCATCTGTGAGGAGATTGTCCAGCATTCACTGCCATATAGGAGGACAGATATTACATAACAGTTCAGTACTCTTTTTTTTTGTTTCTCTTGCTTCAAGTCTCTTCTTCATCTGTTAGGAAATTGTCCAGCATTCACTGCCATATACGAGGACTGATATTACATAACAGTTCAGTACACTTTTCTTTGTTTCTGTTGCTTCAAGTTTTTCATTATCTGTGGGTTGATTGTCCAGCCATCACTTCACTATATGAGGACTCTTATTATATAACAGTTCAGTACTCTTTTCTTTGTGTCTCATGAAGTTTTTCTCTCTCTCTTAATACTCTGCTTAGCTTTCGGAAGGCACCTTTTTTCTATTTCTGTAGGCCTTCAGATTTCAGTGTTGTGCCTTCCAATTCCTGTTTAAACACTTCCTAGATATTTAAATTTTTGTACTTGTTTGATTTTGGTTTCTCCAATTTGCAATTTGCATTTTAGTCTCATCTTCATCATTCACCCTTTTGCTAACGACCATTCATTCTTCTGTTTTGTGTTTAGTCCTTTCTTCCAGCTTTCCTTTATTAACTTCTATAAGAATTTTTGTAGTTTTATTTCCGTCTCTGCCACCAACACAGTCTATTCTGCGTTATGTTGTTAAGATTGTGATCGCCAATATCTATGCCCCGTTAAGTCAGTAATATTCGTGGATTCTCTTTATATTTACTCAGACACGCGAAAATATAAAAACGGTCAAATGTGACACATTCTTGCCATATTCACAATGTTTCAGTCATCGTACGCTCCGGCTTTCTTCAGGTGATATTTGTTGGAATTACGAACGGAACTCTTTATTTGTTCTATGGGGGTGGTATATTTTTCTAATTCCACGTACCTTTGGATATCTCAGGTTTAATCTTCAAAGCCATCCAAGCCATAGACATGAATCCAATATAGAAAACAGTAATACAGTGAACTAATGAAAAACAACAATAACAAAACATTGTTATCCCGTGTGACGTCACCAAACTATGCCATCTTCCGACCCGTAATAGTGACGAGAAGAGATTCCTGTCGGCCCACGAGAATTTTGATCTTGCATCGTACACAGTTATCGGTTTTTCGTTCCCAACGGGAAAAGTGAAGGAGCTTTCTCAAGGATTCGTTCTCAAACGCCTGGGTCCTTTTTTTCTACCTCAACAAGTCTCACAGCCGTGGAGCAGTATGGATACGACCATCGATTTGTAGAGCTTAAAAATGATCTGAAAATAAATAATATTGAAAGATTCATTTTAAAGTAATATTTCTTTTCACTTTAACTCAACTTCATATTCATTTTAACGTACCAAACCGACATTCTGCAGCCATCAGCAAATCAGATTAATTTTCTTCTTATTAGATGAAGCGTCTGCTGTTGCTGTTACTACTGTAGTAAAGAATAAATGAAAGCAAATTTGACTATAGAAAACTATATATGCAGGGTGCGATGGGTAAATTGTCGCCATTTTTTTATTTTAAATTTCACGCATGCGCGTTGTTTGTCTTTGGTTTTGTCGACTGCACAGTAGAGTAGGGTCAGTTGGGTACCGTCTCTGGATACGGAATGCTGTACTGTATGACAATCGTGCTTGAAGTTCCAATACAAACATTTGAGAGTGTCAAAGAGTGCAAAGTATTCGGAAAGAGTTGGATGAGTCTAATGGTGATTACGAAGGTACGGCAATTCGGAAAACTCACCCTGATCGTTCTGATAAGAAAAGAACACCCGAATTTGATAGTAGTGGCCTCGGACTCAACGCGGAGGCTTACTAGGGGGTAGTGCTGCCCTGGGTCAAAAGGGTGGCTGCTTGAAGACGCTGTGTCTGGCAACAAGACTCTGTACCATGCCACACAAGCAGGAGAACCAAGTTATGGCTGTCAGACAATTTCTGCAGCCACATCACCCCTTAAATCTAGCCACCTAACTCTCTAGACTGCAACCCACTTGATGAGCAAGTTGAGCAAAAGACCAAAAACACTCCTTGTAACACCAAAGATGCACTGAAGGCAAGGATTCACCAAATTGGATAAGACCGCCGACCAGAAGAGATGCAGATGAATCCGAAGTGGTATGGATGCCGTGGTTGAAGCCACTGGCGATTTTATTGAATAAATTTACTATTTAGTATTTCAATATTTTTTTTTTTTGTCATTTTGATAAATATATTTGTTAAAATGAGACGTCAGTGTCATTTTCATTTCGGCGTCATTTCGACGACAATTTATCCATCGCGCCCTGTAGAAATTTGTTTTATCGCCAAGGTTAGTTCCATTGTTAGGGTGATGATAACAAAAAAAAGTGAATGGTTTTAGTTCATAATGATCAAATTAAGATGAATATATATATCTACAAGGAATAAAAATTCAGCGAATATTTTTTGTTGTTCTTCTCTAATCTGATTTATATCTGAAAAAAAAAATGGTTATTTCTTCTGAGGAAATATTTCACTGTTAATGACATTTCTCTGAACTATAGAAAAAAAAACAGCGAACATATTTATATCTTATCTAGAAATGTGACCCAGTTATTTCCAATTAGTATCTTGTTTGGGGTAGGGGTGGATATACAGATGCTTTGCATATCTCATTCAAATATTTTTTTTCGGTATCACATGATGAAATACCTTTTTAATACTCAAAATTCGATATCGTCCATCAAAATTTTGTTCAGTTTTTACATCGCCGGTTCATAACTTGAAAACGCCCACCGAGTCATTATCAAGGATGATTTATTTTTACTTTTTAACTAAATGTATGCATTATTTGTATGTATCTGGAGTTATGAGAATTTTATTTTCCAAACAAGGTCAGCACATTGTGGCCGTGTTCTTAGTTAATGCTATTGAGTGTTGGCTTTTTCTTTTTTATTATTAGAGCTTCCATTATTTT